TAACACTACAAGGAATTTCACATGTTCCCGTTCTGTTGGGATACCCAAACAAATTTTTTATTGCTTTATATTGAGCTGTTTGAAATGGGTAGCCCCAAATATAAAAACAGTCTATTCATGACTATGTAAATTTTCCAATTGAATCAATCGTCACTTATGTCAAGAAAATAACTTATATGTACGCTTATCGAAAATAAAGTAAGTTATAGCAAAATACAATTTCTTTATATTTTTTGTCAATTGAAGATTGAATCTCAGTATTAATGTAAAACAGAAGTATTGAAACAATATATTCTCGAAATACAAAGTTTATATGTGCCATTTTACTACGCCTGCTGTCGATTTGATGACATCAAATATTCTTGGAAGAACGCCAAAAAAGTTCTCAACTAATTTAATAATACTTAATAACCATTTATTATTTTAATTGTTAAATATAATTTTATTAAATGTTCTTGATAGATTATTCTAGATCTAAGTTGCAGATATTTAATAATAAATCACTCGAGATAAAATTCTTAAATAATATTGAATTATTTTAAAATTAATAATTAAAATAAGAGTGTGAATTTTTCTGCACAATAAAAGAAAAATATTATTGCCTTTATGTAAAATTTTAATATAAACGTAAAAACCCCATCAATTATTAAAATTCAAATCAGTTTCTTTTTAAACTATTATATTACATAAATATTAGAATAATATTGTGAAAAACAACTACACAGAATGCCTCAAAAATTATAAATAATATTCCCTTACAGCGGGGTAAGAGAAAAATTGAATCTATTACTATAATTTAGTTATTATAAATGAGAATAGAAAGCTGAATAAAAAAGCCACTTTCTCTACATATAAACTTACAAATCATAATAATGGTAGTCCCTTCCGCACCAAAAAACCGCTCCATAAATGCAACCGCGTCGCACGAACACCTCGTTTTTATTATGCATACGAGTATAAACAAAACAAACACCCAACACGTTACTTAACCAGATTACTTTTCCATCGTGAAAGTATATAGGGGTGTATTAAAGTTAAAATTACTTTAAATGATTTTTAATGAATTATTCAATTATTTTTTATATTATATTCTAATTGGGTTTTTGTTTTGTTTTCTCAATTTAATAATACAAATTAAAAATTTAAAATATTTTAGAAGAAAAAAAATTATTCTAAAATTATTTATAAATATTCATAATTTAAATATATAATTGTAATTTTCATGTACATATGTATGGATGTATGTAGGTATGTATGTATGTAATTAAAATTTTTACAATAAAGTTCATTGAATTAATCATAAATTTTATGAATAATTTGTTAGATTTTAATAAATTTCATATATTATAAATCAATTAAGGTTCGCCTGCCATAGTATAGGTCAATTTTTGAACAATAAAATATAAAATAATAAACAATGTAAAAATTTATTTTGTTTTTATGGGAACTATGACCCAATAAGTAGAATATTGTATATTTTACAATAAACAGAAATAAATTATTTAAATTTTTAATTTAATACAAGTGCTAATAATTTTGTATTTTTACGATTTTCTTTCTCAAAAATTCTAGCTATATTTTTATTTATTAAACAATAAAATTTTAGCTCTTAATTCATAAATCATACTTTGTTTTTTTTTAAATAACTTCGTTTTAAAATATTTCAATTAAATGAAAATAGAAATGATTTTCTTGCAATTTTTCTAAATTAGAATTTTAAAAATCTATATAGAAACAAATAATTTAAATAAAGTGTTAAAGATCAAATTAAATCGATTCAATAATTTTACACATGGACGCAAATATAAATAATCGATTATTTAAAAACAAGCTGATAATTTTTTTGCGATCTTTGCAAAATCACACAATTTTTTTTAATATAAAAACAGTAAAAATAACAATATTAAAATTTATTTATAATTACTATATGAGTTATTAATTTGTATCGCCATTTTAAAAATTATCTGAGTTACCATAGTAGTTTTAGTATGTAGTAGATAAGTATATAGTTTTTGCTCTAAATTTTTATTAATATGAAAATTTCATTAAATATTTTACTACAATTATGATTGAATACAATTACTAACCTTATAACCTTGGTTATTAAAATTTCACCACTCCTATGTCTAATATAAATAATTTTTGCAAAAGATATGAGAATACAAGCCCAGTTTCTTACATAATAATTATTAATTATTCAAATTGATAAGAAAATAAGTTTTTTATAAGATTTTAAGTAAATTTAAACTATAATTGATAAAATTAGATTTCGAAAATAACATCGTTGACATGATTTTTATTAATTTAACCCTCCCTAGATATAAAATGCTTATCAGGATTATTAATAGTAACCATATTGAAATTCAAATTTATTATGAAAATTTTGATTAAAAAAAGTGATTCCTATATCAAAGGTGCTAAGACGATTATCGTAATTTTCTAAAAATAAAACTTTTATATACATACTTAATACATATTTGTATATTTTTAAATTTAATAAAGTAAGTGTACTTAATTATTTTACATAATTGCACTCATACATATTATTTAATAAATTCCTGAATATTTAAAAAATTCTTGGTATGACACAATTATCTAAAAGTGGATTATTAAGTATCACTATAAATCATATGGAAAAATTATAGTAAAATATGTACATTTTGAATTCTTTTGGAAACTAAATCTTTGCGGATTTTCATATAAATTTTGACTTATGAAATTCTGTACTGTTATGAAAAAACAATCGAAATTCAATGAAATTCAAAGCAGAATTACTTAACTTTTAAAAAGAAATACGTATATAGAATGTAGATTTCAGAAGAGAGAGGAGAATATCCTTCCGACCAGGCACCGTAATCATGGCTTATTGCTTCCACATTCCAATAACGGAAGATCTCAAAGAATTGTATGTGACTTACTCAATACTGAGAAAACTCCTTGTAAGCCACCTATATCTTCTTACGAACAAGCGCAACTGTCACACAAATTGTGTATGACATTTTAGTCTTCCCATTGTTGCGGCAAAACCTACACAGAAGGAAGTCAAATTTACTCAGATTATAAAAATGTAAAATCGAAAAGTTTAGCTGCAATTACTTAGTTTACATGTTAATTTTCACAATTTAAATAAATATACAACACATAAACGAAATGTATATACATTCGTAAAAAAATTTCCATTTTTTATTAATCTTAAAACTTCGGATTTTCCCTTTAATTATCTACATACATACATATGTAGATTAGAAACATAAAACAAATTAATTTTCAAGAATTTCAATTATTTTGAAAAAATTTTTTTTGACCTAAGTACATACTGGACAATGTCCAATATGTGAAAAAAAAAAACAAAAGAACATAGAAAGAAAATTAAAATTTTGCGAATTCACTATTAATTTATAATTTCTTAGCATTTGAAAAGATTATTTTGAAACCTTAACAATAATCGGTCTCTAATCGATCTTACCAATAATAATCGATTAATTACTATAAAAAAAGCAAAAACTGAATATGATTCAAATATTTTTTTTTTTATTATACCCAATTCAACAACTTATAATTACTTATAAGAATTAATACTTATTATAGTAGATTTAAAAAGAGTAGCTTCGGTACTAAGCAAAAAATCACAATTATTAGAAAGTAATCGGCTTTGATTTTTATCAAATCAAATGAAAAAAAAGGTGGAAAATAAAAGTTTTTTCTACATGTATGCGACGGCTATTAAATTTAATTGTTGTTAATATTCTATAGACACTTATAGTTCATAAAATTAATTAAATTTCATGTAGATATAGGGAAATCCATAGAATTTTTTTTTATTTTTAATGAATTGATTAAATTTTTAAGTCATGCTTCTTAATAAAATTATTAGTAAAGTTTTTCTATAATTTTCATGAATCAATTTAACATTGTTATTATTATTATTGTTAAATGATGTTGATCAAAAAAGTGTAGTAATTAAATATTTTTTCTTAATAATAATTTGCAATTTTTAGGTTATGTAACAGGTAATCTTTTAAAGTATAGAAAATTACAACAAAAAAAAACCAATTGATTTTTTTTATATTAAAACTCAACTTACTAATTTTTTATGATTTTATATCTATTGATTCAAAAATAAGTTTGCAATAATTTTTATAAATATGTCGTATGTTACGCCGGCCGTAATGTTTTAAATATACATGTCAGAGCTGAACACCTTTTCCTGCTATTGTAACTTTCATTTGGAAAAAGTTTACAAAAGATATCTGCGTTTCTCTTTGAGTGTCCTGGATATTCCCTGCAACCTTTAAAAATTGATTCTCTGTGATAACAGTTTGCTACTAATCGATTTATAATCATATTATATAATCGATTATTCACCAACTGGTTTTAGAATTGTGCTTAAAAAAGTGTTAATTTGCGAAAATGTTATAGAAATTTAAGGTTGTGTTGAGTTTTTTTATGTTCGTCGTTAGGCTATTGAATGTACCCTGAAATGAGTCACCGACGAAAGAGGAGAGTATATCCATGAACTTAATCTCATCGTATAATCTGATTTTGTTCATTTTAGGGTTTCTAGAAATTACTTTACTCTTTTTACTTGAGAAAAATTTATAAACAAGAGAGAAGAGTATATTATGCGTGAACTTTATCTCTTCGATTTTGTTAATGTTAGAGTTTACAGAAATGATTGTACCCTAATCTAGTTAAAAATTTATAATTTAATTTTTCAGTTATTAACATATCTAAAGTTTTCAAATATTAGTTTAATAAGCACTGTGGGTTAGTAATCACCTTTCAACTAAATTTTCTAGAAAAATTCAATTTTTCAAACTTTAATAGCAAGTACACTGCTCTGTTATTTCAAAAAATTATTATCAATTTAAGCAAAATTGAAAAGCAATGTAGCCCTTAAATGTTTTCAATTTTACGTATTTAAATTAAATATTGTAATATTTTATTTCTAATGTCTTGATCTTATTAAAAATATTCAAATTTAATAAATTTTATTTTAGTGAAACTTAATGCTGAAAACGAATACTCATTAAAGAGAGAAGTAATTTTCAAAGTTTGAGAATGAAAAAGAAGCTAAACATATCACGTGTGATTTCTAAAACATCGAATAAAAATGATGATTTTAAAAAGAATAACAAAAATGGTGACATTCTGAATGCGTAAGTAAACAAAAATTTTGAAATAAGTATTTTTGTTTTGATTTCAAAAATAAAATGTCAAATTTTTTGACATAAATAAATTATAATAATTTTTTTTATTGAATACTTGTTAGAAATTTTGTTTTATAATCAAATTGAAAATTTTTAGGCAATTTTCGTTACTCGATGGACCAAAAAGTGAAAAGGCACAAAATATTAGTTTTTATCAATTGGTGAGTACATGAAAATACACTTAAACTTACATATTATGTATTCATATATACATATATATGAATGTATATAAATTCTAAAATAATTTAATTGAATTTATTACAGTTCCGATATTCAACTTCAACTGAAAAATTAATAATATTTCTTGCATTATTTTTTGGGACAATTGGTGCAATATTAATACCATATTCAGTTATTATTTATGGTGAATTTACATCATTGCTAATTGATCGTGTAACAAGAAAAGGAACATCGACTCAAGTACATATTTTAAAACTATTTGGTGGAGGCAGAGAATTGTAAGTAGAATTTTAGCATTTAATCAAATTGAATTCTTAATATAGCAACATGATTATTTCATTATATAAAGCATAATAATAAAAATATTTAAAATAATTTTTTTCCATATAGAACAAATGGTACTATTCAAGAAAATCGTGATGCATTAATAGAAGATTCAATTGCATTTGGATTGTCATCGGCAGCTGGTGCTGCTTTACAATTTATAGTATTAATTATATCAGTTGATATAATAAATATAACTGCACTTAATCAAATAACTAGAATACGTAAATTGTTCTTAGAAGCCGTCCTTAAACAAGATATGATCTGGTATGATGTATACAGTAATGACCATAATTTTGCAACCAAAATGACAGAGTAAGTAAAACCTATTTTTTACTTAACAAAATCAATTTGTCGTATGTTATTAATTTAAAAATTAATTAAATAAATTTTAATTACAGAGATTTAGATAAATTTAAAGAAGGAATTGGTGAAAAAATAATTATATTTTGGTATTTACTCATGACATTTGTAACATCTGTAATATGTTCTTTCTTTTATGGATGGGAATTAACATTGGTTGTATTAAGTTGTGTTCCAATTATTGTTATTTCAACAGCATTAGTAGCAAAAATTCAAAGTTCTTTAACTGAAAAAGAATTGAAATCATATTCAAGAGCTGGTGCTGTAGCTGAAGAAGTATTTAGTGGTATTAGAACAGTAGTTGCATTCAGCGGTGAAAAAAAAGAAGAAGAACGTTATGCAAATCGTTTAATCGATTCTGAAAAGACTGGTTATAAAAAAGGTTTTTGGTCTGGTACTGGAAGTGGTATTATGTGGTTTATAACATATTGTTCATATGCGCTTGCATTATGGTATGGCGTAGTTTTAATTATAGATGAAGATAAACAATATACACCAGCTATATTAGTGATAGTATTATTTGGTGTTCTTATTGGAGCACAAAATCTAGGCTTATCATCGCCTCATATTGAGGCATTTTCTGTGGCACGTGGTGCTGCAGCAAATATATTTTCAATTATTGATAGAAAACCAATAATTAATTCATTAGATGATTCTGGTATAAAGCCAAAAGCTGTTACTGGTAATATACGATTTGAGAATATTGAATTCCGTTATCCATCACGGCCAGACATTGAAGTATTAAAAGGTTTAACCTTAGAAATTGAATCTGGTAAAACAACAGCATTAGTTGGACCATCAGGATGCGGTAAATCAACCTGTTTACAATTATTTCAAAGATTATATGATCCAATGGAAGGTAATATTAAGTTAGATGGATACGATATTAAGACATTAAATGTTGCATGGCTAAGATCAAATATTGGCGTTGTCGGTCAAGAGCCAGTATTATTTGCCACAACAATTGCTGAAAATATCAGATATGGTAGACCAAATGCAACACAAGCAGAAATCGAAGATGCCGCAAAAATTGCTAATTGTCATACATTTATAACAAAATTACCACAGGGTTATGATACAATGGTTGGTCAGAAAGGAGCTCAAATGTCAGGTGGACAAAAACAAAGAATTGCTATAGCAAGAGCTGTTATCAAAAATCCGAGCATTTTATTATTAGATGAAGCCACATCAGCGTTAGATCCAACCTCAGAGAAAAAAGTTCAACAAGCATTAGAAGAAGCTAGTGTTGGTCGGACAACATTAGTTGTATCTCATCGTTTATCAACTATTACAAACGCGGATAAAATTGTATATATTAAGGAAGGTCAAGTTCTTGAACAAGGTAGTCATGAAGAGTTAATGAAAAAAAAAGGATATTATTATGATTTGGTGAACACAAATAAAAAAGATGATGATGAAGATGATGAAGAAGATTCTTCTGATGAAAGTCAAGGTAAAAGTGAAGCTGAAAAACCACATCGTGCCAAATTAGAATCGAATAATTCAGTATTAAGTGCTGGAGAAGACAATGAAGCTCATGTAGATGAAGAAGGTAGTTTTAATTTGTGTATTTTTTGGAAAAATGTTTGTTTAATATTTAATTTTGTTACGCATTTAGAATTGTATACAAAAAATGAGAAATACAAAGTGTCATTTATGCGACTTATGAAACTTAATAAACCAGAATGGCCATACATTCTTGTTGGTGGCATCGCTGCAATATTACATGGTTCTTCTTTACCAATATTTGCTATACTTTTTGGTGAATTTTATGGCGTAAGTTAATCTTAATATTTTAAACTTTTTGGATCAAATTAATTAAGAATGCAACACTTTTAGATTCTTTCTAATCCCGATAAAGCAAAAGTACAAGAAGACAGTAATTTTTATTCATATTTATTCATTGCACTGGGTGTGTTAGCTGGTGTTGGTTCATTTTTCCAATTCCATATGTTTAATAAAGCTGGTGTTAGCTTAACATCAAGGTTAAGAAAACAAGCTTTTAAAGCTATAATTTCGCAAGAAATGGCATTTTTTGATGAAAAAGTTAATTCAATTGGTGCTCTCTGTTCACGATTATCTGGTGATTGTGCTAATGTCCAAGGGGTAAAAAATAAAATTTTGATTTACAAAAATAATTTTTAATGTACAATTTTTTATATTGTTTTGTAGGCAACTGGAAGTCGTATCGGTGCAATGGTACAATCTATAGCTACTTTAGTTATTGGTATTCTTATATCATTTTACTTCTCTTGGGATTTAACATTAATTACAATGATAACAATACCATTTGTTTTGGGTTCAATATTTTTGGAATCACGTTATATGGATGCTAGTACCCGTAATGAAAAACTTGCTATAGAAAGCGCTAGTACTGTAGCTGTTGAGGCTATTTCAAATATTAGAACGGTATCAAGTTTAGGCCAAGAACCACACGTTCTTGAAAGATATTGTAAGGAAATTGATTTAGTTCGTGAAGCTTGCAAAAAGAAAACAAGATATCGTGGATTAGTGTTTTCTTTGGGCCAAGCAGCTCCTTTTGCCGCATACGGGCTTTCACTTTATTATGGTGGTACTGCAGTCGCTGATCGGGGATTACAATTTGAGAATGTAATCAAGTATGTGTTTCTTAAATTAGTATTTATAAATTTTTTTAAACTTTTTAATATTATTTTTAACAATATTTGTAATTTTTAAAATAGAGTTTCAGAAGCGTTAATTTTTGGATCATGGATGTTAGGACAGGCTTTAGCTTATGCACCTAATGTAAATGCTGCTATTGTTTCAGCAGGAAGATTATTACGTTTATTTGAACGCCAACCAAAGATGGTTAATGTAGCGCCATCTCCATTTAATTCTGTTGAGGTATTTCTAATAAAATAATATTATTTCTTTTATTTGAAAGTACTTTGATTTATTCAATTTCAGAAAGTTGATGGTGACATAAATTACAATAACATACAATTCCGTTATCCTACACGTCCTGAAGTACAAGTACTGAAGGGATTACAATTAACAATTAAACAAGGTACAACTGTAGCTTTAGTAGGACCATCAGGTTGTGGTAAATCTACTTGCGTTCAACTATTATTACGTTATTATGATCCAGATAGTGGAAATATAAATATTGGAGATTTAGCTACAACAGAATTTCCTTTAGATACATTAAGATCACAATTGGGTTTAGTATCACAAGAACCTGTACTTTTTGACAAAACTATTGCTGAAAATATTGCATATGGTGATAATTTTAAAGATATTCCAATGGCAGAAATAATAGAATGTGCAAAAAAAGCGAATATACATGAATTTATTAGTAATTTACCATTAGGCTATGAAACATCTTTAGGTAATAAAGGTGCTCAATTATCTGGTGGCCAAAAACAACGTATAGCAATTGCAAGAGCTTTAGTACGAAATCCAAAAATATTGATATTAGATGAAGCAACATCAGCTTTAGATATGCAAAGTGAACGAATAGTTCAAGATGCTTTAGATGCAGCTTCAGCTGGTAGAACTTGTATAACAATTGCACATCGTTTAACAACAATACAAGATTCAGATGTTATTATCGTTATTAAAAATGGTGTTATTATTGAAAAGGGTACTCATGACGAACTTATGAGAATGGAAGGAATGTATTCAGAATTATATACAATGCAGCAAATTCAATAATTTAATTTTTTAGTATTTTATTTTAGTACTAATGTTATTCTCGTTATTAATTATATGTATAGTGAAAAATTCATTTGCTTTAAGGATTTAATTATAAAATTAAAATGTAAATAATTTATTCGATTTTATTATTAAATATTTTAATTATTATTTTTATTTAATATAATATTTGTTGTTTTTACTCTTTAGTATTAATTAATATCAAAATTGAATATCTTGCGTAAACTGTGTTTTTAGGGAAAAAAACGAGAACTTAAAATGCATACAAAGTTACACAACCAACATAAAATTCAAATCTCTCACAAATTGACCCAGAAAAATATAGAACCAAATATAGAGCATTTTTATGCTAAAGTTTCCTAAGAGATTTTTATATTTTCCACCTCTCGAATAAAATGCTTGCTTAAATGAAGAATTCATATTTGTTCCCCCTGTTATTTTACTTAAAGGCGTACTAACATAAAATAAAACTTTTATTTGCCAATTCAAAGTTACTACCGTTCTTGAAATAGTAGTGGTTATTTAAAAAAAAACTAAAAAAACGTACAAAGATCAGTACGATTCTTATTTCTCTTTAAACATTAACGGCAAATAAAACCATTTTGATTAATACTCCTTTAAAAGCTTAATGGTAAAAAAAAATACTAAAATTTTGTATATTATGCAATTACTATAAGAATTAATAGCAAGAAAAATACTTAAATTTTTAGCTTTATGTATAAGAGTTACGTTTAATTTTTTGAAAAAATAAAAAATTGAGAATTCTGTGAAATTTTCAAAATAAGAATCAAACTCGTACAACGGTAATTTTTTATTTCTCACGACACATTCAAAATGTAGCTATGTAGTTATTAGATTATCACAATTTACAATAATAATATGTTCAACAAAAATTTTATTAAAAAGAATATATATTGCATATATTTAGGCTTATTACTCAATAAATTGTCTCAATTTCTATGCTTTATTTTTTTATTATTTATATTCATAAGTCTTGTATTGTATTTAAAATATCTTTAAATTTAAGCTAAAGAAGAATAAGTAGTTATTAATTACATTTAATCGTAAAAGTTTCAAAAACTTTATTATAGACATGAATCATTTTGTATGAATTGGTTTGTGTTTACAATAATAATATCGTACATTGTACGATAATATTACCACTATTACAGTTACTATTGTAAATTACTCAACTTAATAATTCGATACTCAGAAAAAGTCCCAATTATTCTTGTCACATAATTTAATAAAGCATTTTCCAATAAAATCAAATAATTTTTTCAAGAAACCCTGTAAATTTTAATAGGAAAAAAAATCAATTGTATTATATTAATTCTTTTTTTGATTTTATATAAAACCAAAAAAAAAAAAATTAATAAAATTTGAACAAGTGTATTAATTACGTACAAAAGTAAATAAGAATCTCTTTAAGCGAGTAAAAGTCTGTTTTTTCATTTTTCATACATATTCAGTTAGTGAGGGGCATTCATACTGTTAAGTACAACTTTTAAATTTAAATATTAAAAAATTATAAATTAAAATAAAAGTAATCATTTTTGTTGGAATATTTCATTAATAAAAATTTTAAATATATATATAGTAATATAATATAATTAAATAATACATATAACAGTGAATAATATAATTAATTATATTTAAAATAAAAATAAACTTAATTTTATTTTTTATTTACTTTAATATGAAAATTAATTAATTAATTAAATTTTTAATGTGTATAAATAAGATTTTACGATATTATAGCAAATTTAATATCACGGTATATAGTATAATTAACCTATAATTCAAATATTTAAAATTAAGTTAAGTAAACACGTATAACACCTTACCAGCCAAAAAAAAAAGTTTCACAATATCAAATATTTATACTATAGTATACCTATATTTTAAATATATTTTAAATAAATAAATATTAATTTTTAATTTGGTGAAAATCTAAAAACAGAATATTCACACGAGAAGGTACAAAAAGAAAAAAAAACACAAAAATGGATCTGAATGAGGTTAATGATAACAGTGCGGAAACAAATGAAAATCAACAAACGTAATTTTTATTATAATTATTATTATATTTACTAATATACATATATAATTTATGATTATTATTATTTAAATAAAATATTATGAACGTACCACCTGTTTTCGGGCGATACATACAGTTTATTAACAAATTAGTTTACATTTAAAAAAAATTTGGAAATATACGAGTAAAATGAGAAAAACACCAGAATTTAAATCATATTTAAATAAATATTTCACATGTGATAAAAATAATAGTTAAAATCATAATAAGTTCAATAGAATATTAAAAATAAAATATAGAAAGGGCTTCGCAACAGTAGAAAATAGTAGAGTTAAGGATTTTAATTAAATTCACAGGCTCTACTGAATTTTTTTTCCAAATACATGAAATTAAAAGTATGCTTCTTAATTTTAAAAATATTAGTTCTAGTTAACATGTTAATTGGAGCCCTATTTCTTGATAATATATTTTCAGTTTTCCTTCATTTAAATTATTGAAGAAAATTGGATAAATTGAGAGAATTTGAAATCAAAAATAAATAATGAACTCACAAAATTAATAATTCACTTTTGCAGTATCTTTCTTATGTACCCATAAGAAATTTAAAAGACGTTCTTTTAATGTTGCGTTTACTATATTATGAAAATATTAACGTTCACACTATTCATTTTAAAATGTCTATTGTAACAATATTATTTTAAATATTCTCTTTATTTTTAGAAATTCATCAGATACTGTAGAAAATCATGGAAGCTCTTCACCAAAAATTTCTTATTTTCAAATGGTATAAATTTACGATTTTTCCTCAAAACTATTATTATTAAAATTTAACGAAATATTTTACATTAAAGTTTCGTTTTGCTACTGGATTCGAAAAATTTTTAATATCAATATCATTATTATTTGGAAGTATTGGATCCTTAGGAGTACCATATTCAGTTATCGCATTTGCAGAAGTTTCAACACTTTTAATTGATCGATCATCAAATATTGGTACATCAACTCCAACTGTAATATTAAAATGGTTTGGTGGTGGAAAAATATTGTAAGTAATTTACAAAAATAAAATATTTAATAAAATATTTAATAATAATTTTAGGACCAATGCAACCAAAGAAGAAAATAATAAAGAAATAATTAATGATGGTATAGCGTTCGGATTATCAGCATTAGTGGGTGCAACAATTCAATTAATTCTACTGACAATTGCTGTCAATACAATAAATACTTGTGCAATAAATCAAATATCTCGAATAAGAAAAAAATTTTTTAAATCGATTCTCCGACAGGATATGACTTGGTTTGATTTATTTAATAATGATTTTAATTTTACAACAATGATGACAAAGTATGAATTAATTTTATATTTATCTAGTACTCGTACATTTATTAGAATTTTCTAAGTATTCCTCACTCTTTTATTTTTATTTTTTAGAGATTTGGATAATTTAAGAGAAGGATTAGGTGAAAAAGTTCTTATATTTTGGTTTCTAATGACTACATATATCACAAATATAATTTGTTCATTTTGTTATGGTTGGGAACTTACTGCAGCTGTACTATGTTTAACGCCAATTATTATAATTTCGACAGCTTTATTTGGGAAAATGCAAAGTTCTTTAACAGAAAAAGAATTAAAATCATATTCAAAAGCTGGTGCAGTAGCTGAAGAAGTTTTTAGTAATATAAGAACAGTTGTAGCATTTAGCGGAGAAGAAAAAGAAGTTGAACGTTACTCAAATAAATTAATACCAGCCGAAGAGTCAAGCTTACGTAAAGGTTTACTATCAGGAATTTGTAATGGAGCTGTTTGGTTTATGAATTATAGCTTTTATGCGGTACCATTATGGTATGGTACACAATTAATATTAGAAGATCGCGCTAATGGTTTAAATGATTATTCACCAGTAGTTTTGATAATTATTCTATTTTGTGTTTTAACTGGTGCACAAAATTTAGGTTTAGCATCACCTCATATTGAAACGTTATCAGTTGCTAGAGCTGCTGCTGCTAATATTTTTCAAGTTATAGACAGAAAATCAACAATTGATTCGATGAGTGATGAAGGTTTAACACCATTAAACATTATTGGTGATATTGAATTCAAAAATATTCATTTTGAATATCCGTCACGACAAAATGTAAAAATTTTAAATGGTATTAGTTTTAAAATTGAATCTGGTAAAACAACAGCCCTATTTGGTTCTTCAGGTTGTGGTAAATCAACTTGCATTCATTTAATTCAACGACTTTATGATCCAAGTGAAGGATCAGTATTAATTGATGGTATTAAAGTTAAAGATTTAAATGTAGCATGGTTAAGATCACAAACTGGTGTTGTCGGACAGGAACCAGTACTTTTTGCTACAACAATAGCTGAAAATATTAGATATGGTAAACCATCAGCAACACAAGACGAAATTGAAAATGCGGCAATAATATCAAATTGTCATAATTTTATAAAAAGATTACCGAATGGATATGATACAATTGTTGGTGAAAAAGGTGCACAATTATCTGGTGGACAAAAACAAAGAGTTGCAATAGCTAGAGCAATTATAAATGATCCTAGAATACTATTATTAGATGAAGCAACATCAGCATTAGATCCACCATCTGAAAAGAAAGTACAAATTGCATTAGAAGATGCCAGTATTGGAAGAACCACATTAATTGTATCACATCAATTGGCTACAGTGAAACATGCTGATAAAATAATTTTTATTAAAGACGGTAATATTGTTGAAGAAGGTTCCCATGAAGAATTAATGGATCGTAAAGGAATTTATTATACATTAGTTAATTCATACAAGGAATATGAAGATGATTATAGTGAGACCGAAGATGATGATTCATCCGAAGAAGAATATGCCCAAAGAAGTTTAAGCACGGTCGTTCGAAGACAGTTTCAATCAACAAAATCATTTCTGAGCTATGTTGAAATTCGTGATGAATTAGAAAAATCACAAGGTATCAATTAAAAAATTTTCAATAATTTTTTTTTAATTTAAAAAAATTTTTGTAGATTTTGCAGAAGAAGATATTACACGCGTCTCAATGTTTCGATTAATGGAATTAAATTCACCTGAATGGTTAGAGATTTTAGTTGGTTGCATTGCTAGTATTTTACATGGCGCGTCACTTCCAATATTCGCTATAATATTAGGAGAATTTTATGGAGTATAAATATTTTAAAAAATGTAGATTTGCAAGTCTCTATATGAAATCTTTTAATATTTGTAGGTGTTTTCCTTGCCAACCTCGGAAGATATTAGGTATCAAAGCAACTTGTATGCCTCATTATTTATAGTTCTAGGTGTAATAGCTGGTGTAGGAACATTTTTTCAAGTTTATATGTTTAACAAAGCTGGTGTAGAACTAACAAGTCGACTAAGGAAACAAGCATTTCAAACTATTACCCATCAAAATATTGCATTTTTCGATGATAAAACAAATTCAGTGGGAGCACTTTGTGCCAGTCTAGCAACAGATTGTTCAAATATCCAAGGAGTATTTTTCTTTTATTTAAAACAAAAAATAACATGTTTATATTTTTTAATACTCTTTATTTTAATAATATAATTTTAGGCAACTGGAAGTCGTATTGGAACCCTTGTTCAATCTATTGCTACATTAGTAATTGGTTTAATAATTTCTTTATATTATTCATGGGATATGGCACTTGTCACAACAATTATTTTACCGTTTTTAATGTGTGCTATTATTATTGAATCAAGATATATGAAAACAGCTGACGAAGCTGAACGTCAATCAATTGAAAATGCATCAAATATCGCTGTAGAAGCTATTTCGAATATGCGGACTGTAACCAGTTTGGGACAAGAAAATTATATTTTGAAAAGATATTGTGACGAAATTTACCAGGCAAAACTTGCTTGCATTAAAAAATCAAAATTCAGAGGTTTAATTTATGGATTATGTCAAGCAATGCCGTTCCTATCATTCGGTTGGTCCCATTGCTATGGTGGATATGCTGTTGTGAAGAGTGACTTACATTATAAAAATATAATTAAGTAGATTAATTTTCTATAAAAAAAAAACTACAATGCATTTTGTTATTACACTTTTTTATTTAAGAGTATCAGAAGCCCTTGTATATGGATCATGGATGCTAGGACAAGCTCTGGCATATGCACCAAACATTAATTCAGCTTTAATATCTGCAGCAAAATTAATTAAATTACTTGACTATAAGCCAAGAACATATAAAAATTCTGTAGCATATTCTAATACAGCAGAGGTTTAAAAATCTTGTTGTTTTCTAAAAATACATACAATTAATCTATGTGATTTACTTTTAGAGATTTGATGGTGATATAACATTCACATCAGTATCATTCCGTTACCCTAGTAGACCAGAAGTGAGAGCACTTCGAAATATTAGCTTGGAAATTAAAAAAGATACTACAGTAGCTTTAGTTGGACCATCTGGATGCGGAAAAACAACATGTCTACAATTATTATTACGTTATTATGATCCAGATGAAGGACTTATTTCAATTGGTAGAAGAAAAACTACTGCTATACCGCCACATATCATAAGATCACAGTTAAGTTTAGTATCACAAGAACCAGTTTTATTTGATCGTACAATAGCTGAAAATATTGCATATGGCAATAATTTTGATAATGTTTCAATGACAGACATTATTGAAGCTGCAATGAAAGCAAATGTACATGATTTTATAACAAATTTACCGTTAGGTTATGATACACCATTAGGTAATAAAGGTACACAATTATCTGGTGGTCAAAAACAACGTATAGCAATCGCAAGAGCACTAGTCCGAAATCCCAAAATATTGTTATTAGATGAAGCAACATCTGCTTTAGACCTTGAAAGTGAAAAACTTGTACAAAATGCTTTAGATGTCGCAAAAACAGGACGTACATGTATAGTTATTGCCCATCGTATAACAACAATACAAAATGCTGATCAAATTTTTGTAATTCGAAGTGGCAAAGTGATCGAAAGAGGTACTCATGACGAGCTAATGAAATTGAATGGAATGTATGCTGATTTATATCATATGGAACATTTTTATTGAAAATTAAAAAGGAATGCTATGTTATATAAATAATTATAAATTATATTTTGTAAATACGTTAATAAAAATTTTAGTAAAGCATTATATAAAAATAAAAAAATCTTTCGTAGCACGCATTTAATACTCTTATTCAATTCACAATCGGCTATCTTGCATCACTCCAGGATTTGCAAAGGCATTTTTTCTCTCTTGTATGGCAATAACAAGTTTTCTAAATGGTCCTAATGGTAAATTTAGCGTTTTTAAATCGGATTCAGTTAATAGCATTAAAGTATCCAAATCAATTTGTTGTTTTTGAAAGCTAAAAATAAAATATTTAAAAAATTGTAATAACAATTGCCCAAAATAATTTTTAAAAATAAAAAAAAATTTTACACAAACTCACATGTGGTAATATTCTTCTAATCCCAATACAGCCAAAAATCTTTGTATTGGTGTTGTAATATCCTCTTGATCATCATCAGTATCTGTTCCACCATCTGAATCTGAATCAGATATACCTAAAAATGGTCTGCCTTTATTCATACGTTTTGATAATGATGATGCATTTTTTCTAGATGATGAATTTGTTGTTGTTGTTGAATCTGGATGTAATTGACTCAAAGCTGCTGTTACAGATCTTCTAAATGCTAAACTACCTATTGGTCTATCAAATAAACTTGTTGGTCTTTGCATTCTTATATCATTACTAATTTCATCATTATCATCATCATCATCATCGTCATCACGACAATTATGTAATGTAAAATCTGGTTGAGAAAATGATCTTGATAATGTACCATAGCCTAAACGTTGACTTTCATGTTCAATATCACTATTTGTATCAACATCAAATACATCAGCTATTTTACCACGTTTACCACTTTCTTCATTTGAACTAAATGTACCAACATATAATACTTCAGAATCTCTTTGTAAACCAGTTAATGATGTTATTGTACGTTTACCATCTGCTTCAATTTCACCAATTTTAAAACCATTATCATCCATCATCATCATACGTTCTTGATTTTTTAATCTTTGTTGTTTCATTTTACTTTCGAATGCCTTTTTCTGTACAGCACTTTTACCAGATCGACTTGATACAGATCCACTACCAACTAAGTCACTAAATTTTATGACATTTGAATTTTGTTGTTCATGTGAACTATTATTTGAAATATTTTTTAAATTGCCATGACTAGATGACCAAATCTTATGTTTTAAAGTTGCCAACATTGATGGCCGTGGTTGTGGTGGTTTTACATTTCCCAATTCTTGTTCTAAACGTTGTTGTCTTTTAGCATATTCTTTTATTCTTTTTTCACAATTTTTTTCTGCCAATTCTTTCATAGCTTTTGCCTTTTTTCTAAAATTAAACAAAAATAGAAATAAAATTTACCGTAAATTTATTAAAATAAATTTTATAAAATTTTTTACCTTTCAGAGATCTCAAAATTAGCTGTTGCTGTATCCAAATAACGTAAAATATCATCTCTATTATTAATTGCTGCTAAATCTTTTGCACTATGTTTATCAATATCCAACGAATATAAGTTTACACCAAATTTTACAAGAAAATCAACACAATGCATATGACCTTTAGCTGCAGCTAAATGTAAAGCAGTATTGCCAAATTGATCACATTTGTCCGGTTCTCCACTAAAAATATTAATATTAAATTTTTAAAGAATAGCTATACAAGAATTTCTTTTAAGCAATAATTATTTTAATGAAATTTAAAATATACCCTCTTCCAACTAAAAGTCTTAAAGCATCTAATCGACCTTCAAATGCAGCCCAAAGAACTGGTGTCATCGAATCTGCATCTTTACTATTTGCATCGCGTCTTGTCGCATCTTTGAGTACTTCCAATAAACCATCCTTTGCAGCTCTAAAAAATTATTTTATTTTAGTTAATTTCAACATATTTATGAATTAAATGTTATTCTGCTTTAAATAATTTATAACTTTGAGAGTAAAAGAATAAGAGTTAAATAAAGAATAGAATAGTTTTCTAGAATTATTAATATAATAATTATAAAATATCCTTGTTGTATACCGTAATTTTATGCAACTTTTGAAAATACATTTTTTAAGTCACACTTTGCGAATTGTTCAGGAGCCCAAATCAAATTCTCGGAAGACAGCTTTAAACGATAACAAACAACTATAGCTACGTCTATAGCTTTTGTAACGATTCTATGTCCACATATAAATAAAATATATACGAACAATGGGAGTACTATGCGCGTATGATCTCTAAGCCGAATTACTTATAGTGCACCAACAAGATATACACTCATTAACTAAAGTACGTGGGATATTGCTTAAAAACTCTTTTTGAAAGAGAAATTACTTAAGTTAGTTCTGCCCTAAGCAGGCAATATGCTATTATAGAAAATAAACTGTAGTAATTTACACGAAAATTAAAGCCCTTAACCTACTTAAATATAATTTATAAAACATAAATTAAAACCTTTTCAATTATTCGAATGCAATTTTCAGAAATCTTTAATTTGTAAGTCAAAATTTTCACTTTTAAATAAAGTTCAACCATAACTTGATTATGCGTTTTTTCTTTTTAATTTTTTTTTAACTTTAAAAATTAACAAAATTTGCAACAAAAAGCAATCAAAAAAAATTTATTTACTTTTTTAAAGTAAAGGTTAAAAAAAGAAACCAAATTACGTGATTTATAAAAAAAACAAACTCATGCACATATATTTATGTTTATATAATGCACATACAGTTTGTTGTTATGTGTTTAAGTGAAATTTTTAAACAAACATTTACATATAAAAGACATTTTTATAGGAACTATTTTTTTAAGAAATGACATGTAATCGAACAAGTTCGAAATGAGCTTATAAAAATTTGCAAAATATATTTCTAAAAAATTTTAAAAACTATGCAAAATATGGACATACAGTGTGAGAAAAATATAATGACCCGGTCTAAGATTAATAAATTCATTTAATTCTGTCCCTTGTTTGGGCATGGTTTAACAAAGCTCGACTTCCAAACCATTATCAGAAAATTATAATATGAAGGTATTTTGTCAAAATTTCTTAATAATAATTAATTATTCGTTACCTTTATTTTACAGCAAAAAATTCTTGATAATTGCAAAAAAAATCTTACAATTAATTGAAAAAGTAAACGAAAAGTATGGTATTAAATACACTTAAGTTATTAAAAGCAATAAAATTGAGTATCTGAATAAAAATTGATATCAAATTCTTCAAAGAAAAGCACAATAAAAAATTAACTAGTCATCAAATTTATATCGAAAACTTGATAAAATAGTTTCATTGAAAAATAATATAGATATCTTTTAACAGATAACCACTCCAAACTACATAATTACGTTAATCATGAAAATGGACTTTGACATTTATATGCCAAATTTTTCTTAAATTTAACATTTATAATCGAATATGCAATAGTGAGGGGAGGCGTAGAATGAAGGAATTTCTCATCTTTTTGCAATAGTTTTCTATGATTTCTTTTGCCATTTATTTTTCCATTATATATAGGTACGTCTATTTAGATTTTAAAAAGATTATAAAGCTCATTTTACACTACACCCTGTTAAATGTAAATTCACAAAAGAAAGGAATGAGTTGAGAGGCCGACAGAATTTTAGTACTGACAGAGATGAAATTAAGAAGAATAATATGTGTGCATGTAATGAACAAATTTAAGTACTATATATGTATCAAAGAATGTACAGATAGAGAAAAAATATAAGCCCAATTGAAACATACAAAACTTCTGGCGGGAGCCTTGAATATGTAAAACTTTATCAATTTTCTAAAAAATTTTTTTACAGGAAAATAGAAATATTCACTCTCTTTATTAGAAACAGTCTCAGAAATTTATTAAATTCAATATTTCAATTTAGAAACTAAATTGAAATATTGAGAAGTTTTTACGTCTTGTTTTCATTCAGCTGCTTGTTTTTAATTTTGAGCAATCTATAACCAAAACTTTTATATTAATTTAATTATAAAAAAAATAGAAAACTATTCTTAAAAACTATAGGATAAAATGAAAAATATTTATATAATATGTATATGTACCAAAGAACGACAAAAAATATCTTCATACATATGTATATATGTATGTATGTAAAAATGTACATATATTATAAAATTTATTGAGATAACTATACTTTATATCATACTCAACGATCTCTTTTAATTGAACTATGTACATGAGTATAGCATTTAACATAATGAAGCAATTTGATATTATTACACTTCCCAAGCTCTTAAATGTAGACGTACCTATTTAATATTAAAAATACGGTAGAATAAATTTTCATACAAATTTTCGCAATTATCAAATGCGTATATGTATTACGAATATTTTATAATTTTTAATGTGAAAAATTATAAATAATTTCTTTTCATTTTAACTAGATAATTTTTATTTTCTAATAAATTTCCTATTTGTAGTTTTTAATTTTAGATTTCTTATCAAAATTAAAGTTATTTGATAACAAGTTCTAACTACACTAATATATATCGTGATATCTAATTGATATCAAAATAAAAGACGAAAGCAAGAAAAGATATATTTGACTGTGTTTTAACACCCTAGGGTTCCAGCTAACGTATATACACTCGCAAGCAAATTATATTAGAAATAAGTATATGTAGCAAAAGGATCATTGTAATGTAGTGTTTTTTAATTATAGCTGGAATAGATGGACGGAAATATATAGAACTACATAAATCGACCAAGAATTCGACTCTGCTTTATAATACACAATACATTTGCAAGACAATATCTCAAATATATATTTCTTAATAAGTATTATAAACGAAACGATAAATTTATGAAAATCCCTTAGATATTTATTCAGTTTAGGGTACAATGAGGTGTTCTGACAAAGAAAAGAAGGAAATATACAAGTACACTTATAAGTATAATGCATATATGTACATACTTATAAATTTATATATAAATATAAGTGTGTTTAAAATAAACATTCATACTTACTTATGAAATCTATCTGACGACATTTTCTTTCAAATGTAATTATTTAATTATCATTAAACTTTAAAGATAATAACTATTTTTTTAATTAAAAATTTTAAGAAAAAATCATTATATTTAAAAATATTTAAAAAAAAAAATATCTTTAAATTACTCTAAGTATATAGGTACACTTTTTATATTTATTTTAAAAAATAGTAGTAACTTATACCTGTAATATATAAACAGGTTAAAAAACCGTTTTGTATATTTGCAATTCAATAATGAATTTTCACTACTTTCTTTTTATTCAAAATTTTAATTTGACTTTTTTCTACTACTTTTTTTTTGTTTATTTATTTCTTATAATTTTTGTTGTTTTTCTCACTAAATTTTGTAATTTTCTTTTTTTTAATTTTAAAATTTTTTGTATGTATGCAGATTTACAATATAAGTATGTATGTATTTTATATAATTGTTTCTTATTTTTATTTGTTACCCTACATTAAAATTTTCGGAATAAAAATGCAATGATCAGAGTTCCCTCCCTTATTTTCATTAATTAATGTTTGTAACATTGTTTGTGATTATTATTTTTAATTGTTATACAAATAATTTTTCATAGTCAAGAGTAATTTTTATTATAACTACGTGTGATTTTTGTTTTCCTAATTTTTTGTTTTTGTTTAATTATTATTTTTACACTACATATAGATTTTTTGTAACAAAAAGCAAATTTTAAAAACAATTCACCATAAATAACCTTCATTTTTATTACAATAATGTACGTATAACAAGTAATAATGTGAAAATAAAAAAATTATGTATGTACATTTGATGATAAATTAAAAAAAATTTTCTGTTTTTCTTACAGAAATTTTTTAAAATGTTTATAAAATTTCATTCCAAGAGAGATGCATACATATATAAATGTATTCATAGAGCCATCGAGCATAATATAGCAAAAATAATAAATTTAGAGTAGAGTATTGTTATATTTCAGTAAATTACTTATTGCTAGTACTGCACTGTATATGGAAAATATAACAGAAATTGCCTTTAAACGGTTGTAGCTAAATAATAGTCCCTATAGAAATATTCTACATTTCCTAATTATGTGTATTCTACTTTTATGAACATACTTATATAGACATACATATATCATAACTCACACTGAAGTGTTTCGTATTTCGTAACCTATACGTACCTAATTAATTTGTCAAAACTCTTCAAATTAATCAGGTACATGTACAAAATTTTCCAAATATTGCAAACATTTACAATTCAAACATAAATGCTGTCAATTAATTTGCAAAACAAATGATGAATTTAACAGAAAATTAAAAACTATTAAAAACTGAGGACTTAGGTATAATATCGCAATTATTAACTAATTCACACATGTGCATTTCAAATTAAATATCAAGAATTTATTTAAAATAAAGAATATTTTTCTTTATATAATATACAAAATAATGTATCAAATTCCTTATTGAGTACTCTCCTTATTATAATTATTATATAACATACTAAACATAACGCGCAAATCTACATACATGCATCCAAACACAACATACAATAATATTTATGCAACATGCAAAGATAAAATTCATAATATGTGGGAGTACACAATATGAATTTTTTTACTTTTTTTCTTATTTTTAAATGAGCAAATGGAACGAATAATAAAATTATTAAATAATAAAATTATTAAATCATAACCATCCCGTTTTAATTATTAATGGATTGGTATGCCATTTTTCTTTTATTTTAATATTATGGGTGTGTGTGTGTGCATAAAAATTTAAACTTTAATTGTTGATTTTAAATTTTCTTATATTATATTATAGATATAAATATTTCAAATGAAATATAAATAATAATTGTTGCTCATATTGCAATTTTACAACATGATTATTGCTACTGATAGGTTCTTTCGTTTGTCTACATAATATCGAAGATATGTAATTATGTATAGAATATTATTTTTAAATAAATAAATAGAATATAGACAAATTTTTGTTTCTTCACAAAAGCAATCAGAAGCGAATAAGAAGAATTCCAATTTTTACTAACCACTTGTATTTACATCTGTACATATACGAACGTAATAACATTTCTTAATTTAACTTATATGTGAAACCAATATACATATACGTACATATGTATGTATCTCTAATTATTCACGCGTAATATAAGAAAACAAAAAAACTTATAAGTATTTAACGTTCGTTCCTCATAAACCGGTGTGCATTTTATCGTTAAGGTAACAAATAAAAACAACAATATAATGTAAATATAGTAAAACGAAAACGCCACTTCTTTTAACCAAAGATTTTAATATAAAATCAGTCAAAACAAGGTAAAACTCTATATGTACATATGTACATTACATACATACACATATATATTTTATCTTATTATATTATTCGTCGTATAGGTATAAATTATTATTCTTTTATGAAGTTCACTCAACCAAAATCCAAATATACTAATTTTCTATACCTATCAATGTAAAATATTATTATTTACGGATATAATATTATACGGTATACATAAACATACTATATAATACACAACTAATTTACACTACAAGTATATTTTAATTCTACAATAATTATTATTATTTAACAAAAAAAAAATTTTTTTCACGAATTTTGATTACTCCCGGATACTAAAAAAATTTTAGATCTTACACGTTTGAAGTATGCAGGTAAACTAAAAAAAAACGATCACCTCTTTTTTTATAAACTCTCTTTATGAACAGAAAAATTAATATTAGTTAATATTATATGTGCTTTTACTGTTATAATATGTGTACAGGTTACTCTAATATACTAATATACTATCTTATTGATGCCCACATAACTACCACGAACAAAAATGATGTTGTATTGAGTATTATGTACATAATATATAACTACATACCATTGTTATGTGCTTAAATAAAATTGCTTACGCATGTAAATCTTTATTATACTTTAATATTTATAAATGGATTTTATTTACAAAAGGGTATGTGGATAAATTTGTTTGTTATTATTAATAAAAAAACATAACAGATTTTATGTTTTCCAATAAGAAAACTGAAACGTTAACACATAAGATAAGCATAAAATACTCCATTCATTAATAATTTTCACTATTCAAATATGTACGTATTTCCAACAATTTTTATTCTCCCCTCCTGGTTAATCAGGACCAAATATTCGAAGCAATACTTTGACAGATTATATTTGTAAACAAAAACATCACTTACAGGACACAGTCAACTAAGAATACGTATGAAAATTCAGCAAATCTAAAACATATTCAAATCGCAAATGAAATTTGTATTTTAACACTATACAATATTACCATGGTGCCACAATTGTTAAGATAATAATAACATTATTATCTTTACAATAACATTATTAACCTTAGATTTTATAAACAAAGTCTGTTAGTAATTTGACGATGTTACTAATTACAAAAGAGAAAGAATTTTATAGAACAAAAATACAAACATATAATATAATATATTCAATTAACTTCGAACATTAAAAATTCTACTGCCTTCCTTTACACATAAAAAATTCACCAAAATATTTGAAACTACCTATAAATGGCAACACTAATTGTTACTATTTACGAAGAATTAAACAGCTGTCATGTGAAATATCAAAATATTGAGCATAACTACATAACCACATAATAACTCAGTGGTTATTCAAACCAAATTCATTTCCAATAATTACTGATGAAAGTCGTATATGGCCTTGTTTGACTTCAGATTTCGTCTGACTGCAAATAATGTACATATTATATTATTACTCTGTTCTCAGTAAATATAATTACTGTCAGATTCTTTAAAAGTAAAATAACGACAGCTAATGTTTTTTGGAAGTTTGAAGCAACTACGAAATAAGTTTGATTATAATTTTCTTAGCAACAGTATTAAATTTTAAAGTAAAGAAAAAACCCTTCTGTAAACTTCAGTGTGATTTATAAACATTTATCAGACTTAATCTAAATAAATTACATTTTTATAAAAAATGATTACATTTTATAAGTACCAGCAATACTATATAATTACAAAAACTGAAATGTAGTTGTGAAAAAGATACAAATTAATTTGCTTAATATTTTTTGTAGTTATGTCGATTTCATATGACATATGTCCCGTCAATTTTTTTTGTCGTACTATACTACATATATTTGTATATTGCTATTGTCTTTCATGAAAAACTTGAAAAGTGAAAAGTGTTTATAAATTTCTGTAAATAATTAAGAATTTTTTTTTTTATTTTTAAATAAATAAATATGAGAAGAAGATTAAAAACTACAAAATGACTAAATATTTAAATAAATTAACATCACTAAATTGTTTTAAAAAGCAAAATATGTCAAAAAATTTATTTAAAATTGCTATTGCAAAAGCACAAAACAAATTGTAAGTGAAAAAAAAAAAAGTGAAAAAAATCGATTGTATTAAAAAATATAGACATTTTTTTTAAATAAAATATATATTTTCAATTCCTGTATTTAATAATGTTATAAATTTAATTTAAAAATATCAAAATAAAAAATTTCTTTTAAATTTTTTTTCTAGTTAACCTATGTATGTTTTTGATTTTTGTTTTGATTGTGCCTGAGAAACTACTTTAACCCATTGGCCATTTTGAATTTTTTTTTCTTTAATATAAAAAATTGATGAGTTGTCTCGATTGTATGTATAAATTTTTTTTTTATTCACAAGAAAAATCCAATATTGTCTCAAAGAACTGAAGAAGATTTTTTTAAAATCAATTGGAAATATTTGCAAATAGTTCAATATTTATTTTTAAATAACTTACAGAGAATTCATAAATGCTTATTCAATATGGTAATGCATATGGTATGGAATAATTGTAAAAGGCGAATAATTTATCTTTGTTATGATTTTGATGAAATGTTTAACTAAATATTAACACTTCAAGAAATTTTTATATAAACAGCGTAAATATCATGTATGCACAACTTTTTTATTTAATTACGAGAGAATAATGATTAAAAATATTTATTCAACTTTTGAGTGTCTGAAAAAAATTAACCCTCAACAATGAAAATCCATCCGTACGCACAATTTGTTCAAACAAAATAAATAATATTAATGCAAATTTAATAAATATATCCTACCTTCATAATATTTGTGATTCCCAACATGTCAGTTCAATTTTATAAAAAAAATTAAATTTAAAGCACATAGAATAGAAAAAAAATTGTGTTACTCCATAGGTATACCTAGCTACCTATAAATATTTCATTCTTGTTTAATCACCGTTTTAATCAATAAAATATATAATTAACGTGTTTAGGCCACCATTGTAAACAGTATCTGTAGTCAGCTATTTAAAATTTCCATTCAATAATAATTTTCTTGATTTTAATTATACTTACTTTATTTACTTTGATTATGCATATATGTATGTATATTGATAATCTTTAATATTTTATTGAAAAAATAATACATAATTGATAAGTATAATTTATATAAAGATTATTATATGTATTTAGGAAGAATTACAACGTGAATATCATTGAAATATAATTATTTTTTTACAATTAAACTGAAATTGTATCTACATAATATGTTCCTAAAGCAAAATTGTCTCAAGATTTTTTATATTCAGCATACTAACATTTGTAATTAAAATCGTCATCATTTATAGATGGAAATCAAAAAAAATTTTGGTCGTATTAATTTAATATGTTAAATGCTATAAACTAATAGAACTAATCACCCAAAAACTAAATATGTAAAGAATAAATTTAACAAAATCAATGTTACCGTATAGTCTAGCCTTAAGCATCCTCCTACATATTATATTCATACAAAAAAAATGTATCGTAAGTTAGTAGAATTCTCCTTGTAACAAATTCGACCTAATAAAATCGAGGCAACAATGTTAGTCACAACAAGTTGATGAATAAAAATTATATCAGAAACCAGCCCCTACCACAATGAAGTGACTTGAAGTCCAAAAGTTGAAACCTATTATTAAAAATAAATATAATTGTCGTATAGAATTTCAATTTCATTGTCGTATAGAATTTCAATAACCTTTTCATAATTTTATATTAATATTTATATTTTTTTTTTTGTCATATATTAAAACATATTGTATGTTTTTATAAAAAAATGTTGAAATATGTATATATATATATATTAATTAAATTTTATTTAAATATTTCCTTTTTTTTTTTATTATTGCAGATAAAATATTATTCAAGGAAGATGTTAACATAGTGCCAATTTAAGAATCACATTTAAAATTACGATATTTTTAATTTAAAAAAATATATATATATATATTGTTTCGTTTTGTTTTCTTTTTTAGAAAATAAAAGAATAATAAAAATTTTTATTTTAATCAAAAAATAATTTATTCTTAGTAGTCGTGCCAAGTAGTGCGCAACACATTTCAACGCATTTTTAACTTTTTTTTTTTTCTCTCTGTTTTTTCACACTTAAGTATTTTTAAAGTAATAATATAATTTTTTTAATAAAAAAAAAAAAATACAAAAATGTAAAAATAAAAATACTGACTCATTAAAAAGTAATTTATAAATACATATATATATATACATATATATATATATGTGGATATATATAAATATTATATTTATATAAATATAAAAGAAAATAATTTTAATAAAAAATATTCATATATAATGTAATTTTATGAAATTTATTCATAAATACATATGTATATAAAAATAAATAAAAATAAAATTTATATGTAATAAATAAATACATATTAATATACAAATATAAATATATAACTTTATCTATTTAAATCTTTATATAAATTAAATATAAAAATCAAAATAATTTAGAAATAAGTATATAAAATTATATTCAAATTGAAATCCAGTGTGCGCGAATAATTTTGGTTACATTTTCATCATCATAATTATTATTATTATCGTAATAATAACATTTTTACATAAAAATATTTAAGTTTAATACCTATATACAATTATAATTATATTAATAATACCAGTAAAAGTACTTACAATTTATAAGTAAATTAGAAATAAATAATAATATAAAACAAAATAAATTCCATTGTATAAAATATGTATTCAAGATTAGCGTAAAAAATAGTAAAAAAAATAAAAAAAATTTTAAAATTTTTATTCCAAAAAAAAAAACAAATATTTTAAATTTTGAAAAAAAATTTTTTAAAACATAATATTAAATAAAAATAAAAATTATAATATAGAAATAAAAAAAAACGAATAATTTAAAAAAGAAGATAAAAATTTCTTTTTATTAAAATATTTATAATATTAAATAAATAAATATAATAGAATTTTAATTTGAAAAAAATAAACAAAATAATTATAAAACGGGGAATCATACGAAGAAAATGATTTAAAGAATTGTAATTTCTAAGAAATGTCTACAATTCTAATGCAATATTATAATCGCATTTTATATAAAATTATTAATAATAAAAAAAAAATCGGTCAATTTGACTTAAAAAAATAAAATAAAATAAATATTAATGCCACAAACAAAAAACATAGGACTCTTTGAAATTAAAAAATAAGAAAAAACCGCATTTTAATTTTTAATTTTTTATCTTATTTAAATAAATTGAATAATAACTAATAATCAGAAATATAAATCGTGTTAAAATTATTTTTTTTTTTCTCAATTTTAACTACATTCAAAATTGTTGTTATTATCTTGTTCTTTTAAAAAAAAAAAAAAAAAAACTTTAAAATTGTAATTTAATTTTATAAAAACTAAAAAAGAAAGATACAAGACGAAACAGAAAAAAAATTTGCATTAAGAAAAGCGGGAAAAAAAAAAACGTTTTCTTTTATTGTTTATTATAATCCCCCCCGAAAAAACCACCCTGGATAATCTCTTCGTATTATGGGTAATTGCTTGAAATGTTTTCAAACATCAACAACAAACGATCAAGTAAATTCTTTATCTTCAACAACAAATCAAATAAACGTATCACTTTCTGCTGGACATCATCAAAATACTGATACAAGAGGTGGCGGCTTTAAAATTGATCGGGGTAATGTGCTGAAAGGTGATCGTCCTGGTGGTAAGTTTCTCTTTCTTTTTTTTTATATTTCTTCTACTACACTCTATTATTGCTTTTTCTTTAATTTTTTTTTTTTGGTGATTTTCGATATTTTTGTTTATACATGAAATTATAATAATTTTGTTATTTTTTTTTCTGCTTGTTTTTTTTTTTTGTTTAAATTATCAATAATTTGATGATGATCACATCCAAAAAAATTTTTATTTGTTTTCTTGTTTATTTTGATTTTCGTTTTGATGCTCGGGAAATTTAAAGTTAATTTTTTCCATGTTATTCTTATGTCTATTTGAAAATAATTATTGAAATCATCTCAATTATATTTTCGGTTTTTTTTTTCATTAGTAAAATAATAATTTCGTTTGATTAATCATTATTTTTTTTAATTATATTAGAAAATATTGAAATGTTTACGTTTTACATAAATTCCTAATACAATAACAATTAATAATAAATTCTTGAATGATATTTGATAGCGCTAATACAACATACATACACACATATGCAAAATGTAAAATATTATTTAAATTTTTTTTTTATTTCATTTTCATATTAATTATAGAAACTGATGAGCTACTTGCTGTGAGTCCAATTAATTCAATTAATTTGAAGCGACAAAATCTTGATACCAAACAACGTAATAGTTTTAAAAAATCTATTCCATTTTTAAACGGTAACACAGCTAGTATGGGGGACATTATAACAACAGGTAAGAGAAAAAAAAAAAAAAACACGCATCAATTAAAACCCGTTTTAAATTTAATCCAAAAAATTTTATGCGTATATTAATAAAAATGAATTCAAAATTTAAGTATGTGCTCAATTTAAAAATTAAATATTAAAATTTTAAATTCTAAAATTTTTTTCACACAATTAATCTTTTTCCTAATTTTTTTTTTTGTTTTAGTTAAAGAACCAATTCAGGTTTCAGATAATACATTAAATTTATTATTTGAAGAATATAAAGATCCAGATGAAGATGAAATTTTAGCAGAAGGTATTGAACGTTTATGTAAAGATTTAGGTTATCAGCCAGATGATTTTGCAATATTAGTATTAGCATGGCGATTAGATGCATCACAAATGTGCCGTTTTACAAAATCAGAATTTATTGGTGGTTTACATAAAATGACAGCAGATACTATTGAAACAATACGTTTAAGACTGGAACAAACAATTGAAAAACTTAAAACTGATTCAGATATGTTTAAACAATTGTATCGTTTTACATTTAGGTAAATATTAATATATTTATATATATATATATAAATATTTATTAATTAATTTAGTAATAAATGTAAAATATTATGATATCATTTCATGGTTATATCCATACATTTTGTAAAATTTATATTTTCATTCAATTAAGATTTAGAAATTTGTAATAAATATTCCAATTGATAATCAGTAATTGATAAATTTTGAGTACTCAATTTATTTTTTATTAGTCTATTATTAAAATTTTTATTTAAATTAATATTTATTTTAAAATAGAAATTTGTAAACAATTCTGTAGGAAGCACTAATGATAATTAATTTTAGTTTTGATTCTTTTCTTTTTGCTTTGTTTAAGTTATTGAAATTGATATGATATTATTTTAGTTTTCTTCTTATTTTAAAATTTTTCTTATCTATAAGTATAAAAATAAATCATAAATTTTTACATTCGTTTTTAGTATAAATAAATTTATAAATAATTTTAATCTTATATATTAAATTATTATATTTTCTTTTATCACTTTTTCCTTTTTAGATTTGGATTAGAGGAAAGTAATCGAATATTATCATTAGATATGGCAATAATACTATGGCGTCTAGTATTTACTGTAAATGAACCACAACTATTGCAACGATGGTTATACTTTTTAGAACAACATCCGAATATACGTGGTATACCAAAAGATACATGGAATATGTTCTTAAATTTTTCCGAACAATGTGATATTAGTAATTTACATTTATATGATGATACTGAAGCGTGGCCAAGTTTATTTGATGATTTTGTGGATTATGAAAAAACAAATTTAAAATTAAATAAAAATAATCTTAATAATAACGATAATGATAATAACAATCATGAAAAAGGCAACTCGGATACGAGTGATATTTTATAGTATTAAATGTATTAAATTAATTTTTTTTTTATTTTTTAATTTTTTAAATTATAAATATTATTATTATAATATTAAAAAAAAAATAACATGTAATTGTAATTAAAAAAATTAAAACTTTTTTTTTTAACAAATTTTCGATATTAATGAAGAAGAAAATTAATATAATATTAGTAAAAAAAAATTAATTGTTTTTAAGTTGTAAATAGAAAAATAATTTCTTACAATTAAAAATTAATCTTTAATTTTTCGTCCTTTTAATTTTTTTTTTATTTGTATTTTATTAAAAATTTTAAGTTTTTGATAATATATTAATTAAAAAGTGACTTGGAATAAATTATAGAACAAAAATTATAATTTAAAATGCAAAATAAAACAAAAACGGAACATAAATTTTTGTTTTTTTTTTTCTGTATTAAAACAAAAGCTGGTTTTAAGATTTGTGCATTGTATCTATCAACTTATTGTATTTGAATCTATTTTTGTGTTATGAATCCTTTTTTTTTTGCAAATCCTGTTCTATTAATCTGATATTTAAGTATAAATGTAACATATATAAAAGAAAATGTATATATGTATGTGAAAAAATTTAATAAAACAATTTTTCGTATATGCTATAAATTTTCATATTTTATACTTTACACAAAAACCATAAACTAATTAAAAATACGAAAATGGCAGACATAAACCAATTAGAAATTGATGAACCTTTTGTTTTTCCTTCCGTTATGCGAACTCATACTCTTTAATTAAATAAAATATAAATCCAAGGGCGTTGTTTTCTCTACAGTGGTAAATGATTAGTGGGTGGTAATTAAATTTTCTATGATATTACTTGAAAATATTAGTAAAATTCTTACGTTATCTCTTACTGCTGTTTTTATACCAATGGAGATTAAAGGAAAATTTTTATACTCTTTTTTTTATTTTTATATTAGAATAATTATAGTTTATTTTGTCTCTAATTAGATAATTACATACATAATTTTTAAATACAATGTATAAGTTTTGGAAGAAATAGTTTACAAATTTCTCAGTACTTCTTATAATATGAAAATATGTATTTATATTTTTGGTTCAAATTTTTTTTTATACATTTTAATTATACAGATATTTTTTTTAAAAATATAAACAATAAATTTAGAGTTTTTATTGTTTAATTTAAATAATAGCATATACTTGTTGAGATTTTTTTTAAAATTTCATTTTATATTCTTGTATATGATGGATGTAAATTTCCAGTTTGCGGAATTAAACGTTGCTGATCAGTAGCACTTTGGAATATTTTATACAATGAGTATACTGAAAGCCACACATAGAAATTTATAACTAAAATGGGAATAAAATATAAATTTATAAAAATTTTATGTTAAATATGTGCCTATTTGTAATAATTTACCGAACGCGAATACTGATAATACAAGAGATAGTATTACATCGCCAGCAGCAGCACCAAGATTTATCAAATGAATAATCATACCAACCAATACCAGTGCAAAATACCAAATATAAATTCCATTATTAATTAGCCACGGTACCAAATATAAATGTCTCTCCTATAAGAATGAGATTTTTTTTTATTTTCAAGTTTTTTTTTATATTAAAAATATATTTTAAATTATCAATTATTTATTAAATTCATATTAAAAATGAAGCTTGAATATGTAGTTGATTATCTGACTCATAAAGTAGCAACTTAAGTCGTTTTGCAGAAAAAACGCAAAAAAAAAAAGGAAATAAAATGAAATCTGATCTTGTTGAGTCACAAAAGCTTGAAAAATACGTTTATTATTTAGTACATATGAATATAGGTAGTTACGTATTTCCCTTAATTTTAAAGATATACCGGTTATACACAAACATACCTTCAAAGTCCCAATTACAAGCAAAATCGAAGAAAGTGCATTTTGAGCATGTAACACCAAATATACAATCAATACAACAAGTAGGACTGAAATATAAAAATCAATTAAAAATTGCGTTTTAAGCAAATATGTATAAATGCATGCATTATTAAATTTTACCAAAATGTTACTGTACAGTATACACATACCCGTTTTAATTGTCTGAAGATCAGTTTTATTATCGGGAATATCTGGGAACGGAATAGAGTTATTAGTGTTATTGTAAAAGTGATCCACTATATAATCCAAATTTGCTAAACAAACAATATCCACAATAGCTGAAATTAAATAAATTATTCCACCAACCCATCCTATAAATAGGGCTGCAGTATTTAAACGAAAACCGAAAAAACTTTTAACCATCTTAATGTTAATGGAATTTTTTTAAATTCAATAAAAGAGATTACTTATGCAAATATTTCGCTATAATATATTCCTTTATTCTTAAAAATTATCTGTTCAGCAGAGAACGTTTATTATATTATCTCGTAATTAATTCTGACAACTGGAGAATTTTTTAAGTCGTATTTCACAAGTAGTTAAAGAATACAAGAAAACAAAGAAATGCATTTCATTTGCAGTTGACAAATGTCAAAACATCAATGCAGTAAAAAACAGCTGTCAACGTCAAAATAGTGTTAAAAAATAAACAGGGTTTCACTTACAAAAGTTCATACCAAATTTTTTACATTAACTACAAATTTATATGCTACATTGATGCTAACAATTAAATATTGCTTCAAAATTTTTAATTCTATTATGTTGAATTCTATTTCTACTTTACGTTTCTACGGTATATCTTGTCTACCATTGACGTAAAAGTCTTCGTCTTAACATAGGTATTCTGACGAAATGAAGTAAAAGACATTTCTGTGTAACAATATTGTTGTATAAGATCAAAAATTTAAACTTAATTTTTTTCATGTCAATATATATAAATTTTAAAATCACTAAAGGTTTTACTGAAATTAAAAGCATTGCGTAAACCTGTTCCTTTTTTTTTTATTCTTCCCATAAATATTAACACTAGTATATGAATTTTTTTATTTTCATTTATTTACATTAGTTTCGAAATACTACATTTTAGTCATTAGTAACATTTTATTATTAATATTAATTAAATATTAATTATTTAATCTTTTTTTCTGTAAACTTATTATCTTATTAAATATTATTAATACGAATATTTTTACGTTATTTAATATTACATTACATATTATTTAAAAAATTGCGCAGGCATATAATATTTTCAGACAAAATGTAATCATATTTGAACTGTCAATTACAAATTTTTGTACCCATCTTTTTGTAATCATTATTTTTCAACAATCATAATAATCATAAACGAGTTCATTGAAAACAAAAACTTTTGTCAGACAATCAGTAGTTTTCAAATCACTGTTCTTTCTGTACGAGAAATCGAGTTTTTCTGAACAAAAAAAAAAAAAGAAAAAAATGAAAATATAATAAATATATGTATATATAAATTTTTTTTTTAATTTGTAAATTTGTACATAAAATGTGAAATTTTCATTAAATTAATTTTTAAAATATAATAAAATGAAATATAAAAAATAGTTTTTAAATAGAATATAATAATAAATATTTATGTATAGGGTTTTGTTGAGTGAATATAATTTTAAAACACAAAGAATATAAAAAAGTGACGACGTCAGATTTTGCAATTTCCATTTGACGTTCTTATTTTATTTTTTATTTTTTTTTTATTAATTTTAATAGTCAACTTTTGTCAGCTGATAAATTTTTTCACATTATGTATAAAAATTTTTTTTTTCTAAATAATGATATATATATACGTATGAAATTAATTAAATATTAAATTTCACTAAAATTTAAATTGTATTAGAGTGTATTTTATAAGAAACAAAAAAAAATTCGTTTCCATTGTTTACAAATAATCAGTTTTTCTACTGGAATATTAAAAAATAAAAAAAATAGAACACAAAATTATAGTTAAAACAAATAAAAGAAAAAAAAAATATTTCGAATAGGTAAGTTAAAAATAATGGTGAACTTTTTCATTTTCTTATTGGATACAACGAGATTTCTTTTTAGATTTTTTTTTTGTTTTGTTGTTTTTTTTTCTGTTTTTGTGTGTAAAGTGTAGTTTTAAGTTTGCCTAAAATTTGGTGTAGTTAAGTAATAAACATCCTTGAAAGAGTGAAAAAATTAAAATAACCTTGTATGAAAAAACAAAAATTGAATTGTAAATTGTACAACAATAAAATGAACTTAATTTTTTAAAAATATTAAAATGTTACATTTAAAGATAACAAAATTTTGATAATATTTGAATTGCTATATAAGTAATTAATGTATATTTTATGTATACATATTTAAAGATTTAATACCCATATAGCGTAACACCCTCAATTCTAATTTAAATAAAAAAAGAAAGTTGCAAAAAATTAGATCACTACATTGCCTTTACTCATTTTTTTTTTCGTTTTTAAGAATGATAAAATCATAACTATCAACTATTAAATTATAATAATAATGTATATATGTACGTATATATATATATATGCAATATCTATATTTTAGAGACAATATTTATATAGTTTAATTAGCTATATAATTTTAAATAACATAAGTACACAATAAGTACCTATACCAAAATTGATTTTATGTGTAAAAAAAATCGATGATCCAATATATATATGTATACATTTATGTAATACGAGTATGTAAACATATTATAATACTCATTCAATATATTGTTTGTATGTAAGTATATACATAAATCTCTAAATGGCCTTTCCATATTCATATATGTACATATTGTTTTACAAAATTTCTTCATAAGTATTATGAAAAATTTTTGCCCTCAATTTGAAAATCATTTTAAGAATATAATTTGTAAATAGTTTTAAGTATTTTTAATCTTGTGTTAATAAATTTATTGTATAAATTCTTAATACATAAGATAATAATTAATTACTTACTTAATTTAAGTATAGTTCTTACCATACTTAATACCATTTGAATTTTGATAAACCATGAAGAATAAATAAGTAGGTAACCTACCTATAAGTATAAAAAATTTCATGTTTTGTTAATTTTTAATGTTAATTTTTTGATATGAACGAATTTGTATTTAAAATACATTAGAATAAATTTGACTATTCAACCAATATGTACACTGGATTTTTTAATTAAATTTAAAATAATTTGCGATTTATTACAAATAAAAGAAAGTTGTCATGAAGTTACATTTTTCTCATACTTATTTAAATATTAAAGTATGTACTTTAAATATTTTATTTTAATATTTTTATTCTTTTCATTGTTGTCAGAGTTAGTTATAAATTGGAACTTACTTTTTGAATTAAGATTGTAAATTTGAATAACATCTTAAATACTTACTTATTGATATCTAAATCTTATTGTGTTCTTAATTTATACCATATACTTAATTCAATAGAAATTTTTGTTATTCAGTTACTTATAAGTATATAATTTAACTATACCAGAGTTCAGTTGTAAATTATAAATATTTAATAAAGAATATTAAGATATGTACATTACTATTCTAAGAATGTACGAATAATGTCTAACACATCTAACTGTGTACAAAATAGTATAAATTAATAATATGTTGTACGTATATTGTATATGTAGTGCTTACTTAATAAAAATAAAGTAAGTAGTACATACTAAGAAATAATAATAAAGATTATGTATATATATATATATATATATATGAGTACATATGTATTTATAAAGTGTTTTTTTATGCTTCTTTTGCTTTAATCATTCATCGGTTAATTAGACTGTAACAAAATAATAATAAAAGCTAAGAAAGACAAAAATTGAATTGAATTAACAAAAATATTAATATTTTTGATTACATATAGTTACTTACTTATTTATTTAATTAAAATACTTTATTTGATTATTTAAAATTAAATTTAAAACAAAAAATAAATTACTTAAATTTTAATGATTATTTTCTCGAAATCTATACTTACCGAACATGTTTACTTAATTTTTTATTATTAAAAATACTTAAAACAAATGAGTAAAGTTTTCATAATAAATATTTTCAATATTTATTGACAAATATAATTAAATTAAAGTAAATTAAGCAAAGATAGGTGCTTAACTACAAAATTAAAAAATAATTTAATTAAAAATATTTTAATTTAATTATTTTTATTATAATTTTTCTCTTTCAGAAATTCTATCATAAATTCATAAAATATAATATCTTATAGATAGTCATTTAATTAAAACATCTCGATTATATAAATATTAATAGAAATATAGAAAAAAAAACAAAAAAGTGTAATAAAAAAAAAAATATTTACTTAAATAAAAAAAAATAAAACCGTAAAACTGCGAATTATTTCGCTAACAAAATAAAATAAAATGTTTAAAATTCAACAAAAATATTGTTTCTTAATTGGAAACTGAAAAAAAAAAAAGAGCGTTTAAAAATCAACAAATAATAAATGAGAATTTTTATAATATTTATAAGTAAATTTAAATTAAATACAATAAAAAAATAAAATAAAAAAAAATGGAATCAGCTGATGCCTTAGTTGAAGAAAAAAAACTTATGAATGAAACAAAATATAGAAATTATATGTCAAATATTGACAAAGCATTAAAAAATTTTGAATATTCAAGTGAATGGGCAGATCTAATATCAGCTCTCGGTAAATTAAGTAAGGTAAGTTTTAAAAAATTAAATTATTATTTTTATATTTTAAATATTTAAAGGGAAGGTTTTCTTATGTTCATTCTTATTCACCTAGATCATTGATTAAGTACCTTTCCTTTTTATGAAAATCCAATTTTTAATAAAGCTTAAAATATTAATAAGTAATATGAAATTTCAACAATTAATTTAATGAATTAGTCGAACAGTTTTGTAAATGAATTTTTTAGTATGGAAATGTTTAAAAGCATGCATTTATTATAAAAAATTTAAATGAGTGTCTTTGATAATATCTTAATATATTAATCAAGAAATTTTATAATAAAAAGTAAAAATAATTTTACAATACCTAGAAATTTTTTGAAGGCCAATGCATCATCATATTACAGTTAGCACCAACTTCATTTATAATGTTCATTTGGGGTGAACAGGGCGAGTAAAACTAATGTGATAATTCGAAATTATTGGCAATATTCACACTTCCAAAAAAAAATGTTATCATGTTAAGAAAATATAAATTATAACTGAAGGGTTTATACTTGGTTATATTACAATTATAAATGACCTCTATATGAAATATCGCAAAAATTATTACATTGCCTGTGCCGTATTTTTTTCTACTAAGTATACACAATCGAATCGAATATTTTTATTGATTTCGAATATTCCTTGAATTTTCACTAATTTTTTTTAATAATTTCACTGCAATAAAAATAGTGACGTATTGTTAAAGCAAAATAAATGAGTAGAACGTTCTTTGTCCTTTATTATTTATTAGTATGTGCATTAGCGGCATATAAGTAATTAAAAAACAAAATATTAAAAGAATCTTAAAATAAACAGAATTTTATTTTATTTTAAGTATTTTTTGTTAGTAATATTTTAGGTTTTCTTTATTTATTTTGAATAAAAAATGTCGCATATTGCAGTAAATAAAAACTTAATACACACTGTACACAATATTTACTACTTATACTATTATAATTTTTTAAGTGTATGTATATAGACGTGTACTTATATTTAATATTGTATATGATAGTAAAATTATAATTAACTTTTTATGTAAACATTCAAAGGGAAATCAAATTGAATGAAATCAATTTCATTTTATTGTTTTTCTTTAATAAGTACTTAATGAAAATTTCATTGTATCGTCTTTTATGCTTTATTAAATTTATTTATGTGAGTATAAAATTTCTTTTAAATAAAGATTACTTTTCTCATAAATAAACTATTTAAGCTAAGAATAAGTTTAATTAAGCATTCGTAAATTTGTTTTTATTTAAAATAAATTAAAAGGAAAATTTTATTGTTTGTTTTACTTTGTTATTCTTGATTTATTTTTCACTTCAATAATTCTTTTTTTTTTTTTTAAACAAAAAAATAGATATGAATATTTTTTTTTAATGAATGATAAAATTTTATTTTTAAATCAGGAAGAAAAAAGCTTTTAAAGTTTTTTTCTTCATTTTTAGCAACCGCATTGCTTACAATAAGGGAGGTTATGTGATGGCACCAAAATTTCGAATGTCAAGTTATCGGTGGAAACGCACTTTTCTATAGTAGGGAAATGTAAGATGTAATTTGGTCTGTTTGGGCAAATCAGTATCTAAAGTTCGCCTGAACTGATTTTTTCGAAAATTCATTCCGATGATAAGACAATTGGAATACTCATGCAAAATTTTCGCAGAAATCAGGTGTCAGCAAATGAATTTTTACCAAATTTACATTTTTGTTATACTTACTTAGAAGTACTTAAATAACCAATTCCCTTGAAACTTAATATTTGAATTTAGAATTCAGGGTTCGCAAAAATAAGATTTCACCAGGGCCGATATTGCATATTTTACAATATCTAAGGAAATAATTGACGGAATTTCTTGAAATTTGATATTTGAGTTCTATTTACTATTGAAAGTGACTGACAAATTTTTCCCTTGCGTAAACTGATATGTGCTAAATGCCAAATTTACGATTTTCTAAATATGTTAACTAAAAGTTTCCGAACGCTGAACCTAGTTTTCTTAAAATTTAAAAGAATTGTTTAAAGGATATTTTAATAATATTTTGCGAAACTTTCGCTAAACCAGACAATACACTTTACGATCATTTATGTGCTGAACACATCAGTTCTTTTATTTTACTTACTTAATTTGTTCTTAATACAATATGGTATATAGCCACAGTACTTTGAAAAAATAAAATAATCTTTTTATTAAAATTAGATATTCGTATTTTGAATAAATCGTGTATAAAAATACTGAAATGTAATTGATTATTAGTTATTAAATTTTAAATTTGTTAATCTTAATTCAATTTAAACTGAAAATAAATTTTTTGTATTTTGTCAATGTGGCGCCTATAAATATACATTTGTACTTGAAGCTCTTCACAACAACAAAACTAAATACAAAAACTTTGTTATAGATTTTAAATTTTCTTAAGATTTTTTGTTTTTTCTAATTTCCTTTGAAACAAGTTTATGAATACATAAATATATATATATACATGTACTTGAGTATATTGTCATACTTATACATCACAATTTTATTGATCGATACTGTAAATATACATACACATATAACGTAAATACATAGTATACTTGTATATTTACTTATATGGTGATATTCATAGTAAAAACTAAAAAAAAATCAATACTTATTTTATTGAACATTTTTTTTTTTTTAATTTAGTGGAATAGAATCGTTATGACACTTATAACATACGAAAATAGAAGACTGGAACGTAAATTGAAAATTTTAAATTTTTAAAATTAAGTCATAAGATATTAAGAGTAACTATTCAAATGTTAAATAGATCACGACTACTTTAAACTGTTTTAATTTTATTTAAAAAAAGCTATTAAGTAAATATTGTGGAAAATTTTTAATATTTTTTTTCTTTGTAATTATTCAAATTTGTAAAAAGCGTTTATAAATAAGATGAGAGAAGAAATTTTTAAGTTTATAAATCTTTCCAATATAAGTATTTATTGTTAGTATTCTTAATAAGAAAGTACTTTCTTATCCCTTTCTAAGTATATTAATGACAATATTGAGTTTAATACTTACTTATTTTCAATTAAGTTAAGACTGCGACATCAAATGTCATTACGACTGAGCGCCACTCAATTCATTACGGAGTTAAGTAAGACAATAAAATTATTATTTTAGAATCAGTTATACTGAAACTGTGTGAGCCTATTTATTATAAGAACTTATATATAATACTTATATAATAAAATCGCATTGAATAAAATATTTATTGTCAAAAATTTGGTACTCGTATTCTTATATTTTACTAAACTAAATAGTATAACAAAATTGATTTACTTACGCATATATATCAATAAATTGATGTACATATATATGTCAATATATTGATATATATATGTATATATATCAATTTTGTCATACTATTTAGTTTTGTTATACTATTTACAAATTCCCATATACTTATATAATATATATGAGAATTTAAAATTCAACCATCTCAAAAATAAATTTGAAATCTTTAATAAGAAATAAATATTTAAATTAAGCGAACATGAATGAATGATTTTTATAAATTTTTAAATATTTAAAAGATGCACGTACTTACATGCATAATTATTAAATATACATACTTAGAATAGATATTAAGAAATTTAATCTGTTATAATATTATTTTTAAATATGGCACATGCATAAAATACAAAATTATCTAATATAATATGCGCATGTGCTTAAATACTAATTTGCTTGTAAAATTTATATTGTAAGTATAACAAAACTTTTCTTTTTTTTTTGGGAAAAATATAATAAATTCGCTTTAAATGTAGATCAACTCAGTAATATTATATATATATATATAATATATATAAGTATATATATATATATATATATATATATATATATATAAGTATAAAAGCGTAAAGAGTATTGGTAAATGAACCAATTTATTTTTAAATTTTCTTTTTAATTTCAAATAAAGGAAATATATAAAATTAGAATCCAAAAAAAATATGGAAATAAAAGTAATATATTCAAAGATTTTCATGAGCATTTAAATATGGGAAATTTCAAAAAAAAAATGATCATTTGTTAAAACTAATTTTAATTTACTTAATTCCACGATTCATAGGGGTTCTTATATACATACATAATTTAAACTTTACTTAGAAATTATTTGCACCATTGAGATGGCAATATACTCAAAATATAAAGGAAATGAATTTATGAAAGCAAGTCGAAATTAGTTGCATTCCGAATTTAAGTAATTTAATTTTGATTTATTGTTGAGACTGGTAAGATTGAGACTGTTGAGTTATTATTGAGATATTTGTTTAAAACTCGGGACTACTTAGGAATGTAAATTTAAAAAAAAACAAAAATACATTGACATACAGATAGCTACATGAGTAAGTTTATATCCAAGATCTAATTATTTATTGAAGATTAATTACTAATAATTGCTTCAATTCAATTAAATTCATATTTTCCGTAACAAGAAATTTATGTTCTAATTCATAATTTTACAGTAAAGTAAGTAAAGCTAAAATTACACAAAATTTTAATTAACTTGAGTGATTATTTTGATTTTCGTTAATACTTTTATAAAAAATCAAATAGATTTTCATTCATGATTTGTTAATTAATAAAATTGCAATTTCAAAATAAATTTAATTTATTTTTTTTTTAACAATAATTTTATATTGCATTTCTTATCGTCTTCTTTTTTTCTATTAAGTATATTATGCAACAAATTCAACATAAGTAATAAAAATGTGATTAACTTTATGTGTTTAAATTTTTTAATTAATTGAAGAGCTAGTAAAAAATAATAATTTTATTCCATTTTTAAATAGCCTAAGCAATGATATGGTTTATAGGTACTAGCTTGAGCAAAATTCATAAATAAAATTACTATTTCATATGTGGGTATCCAAAATTAAATTTTTCTTTGGTTGTACGTGAGTATATATATATATATATATATTTATTGTGTAGTTTTGATATTTATGTATCTAAACA